CATCTACACGACCGAGATAACAATCTGCCTCATAAGGTGGTTGTGAGGATTCAGTGAGCTAGCCCATGTGAAATGCTCAGAACTGGGCCTGGCACACAGGAGCTCCAGAAGTGTGCCCGATTATTACCGTTGGGCGGACAGCATCTGTCTGGGGCACCAAAACATTTTTGGCACAAATGTGATGTTTCAAAATAGGCATCATATGTTGTCATTGTGAGGAAAGTCAGGACCCCGTGGGCCTTCCTGACCCTTGTCTGATGTTGAGGCTTGTTTTGTTGACAGTGGCATCTGAGTGCTGAGGGATGCCAAGGGACCCCATGGGGCTCTGGAGGGTTGTAGGCCCTTCTGTGGTCATCGCTTCTGTCCTGTCACCTCAAGAGACAGGACCCTGGGCTCAGAGAGGGTGCCTGGGGTGGGGGTGTTCCAACCCAGCCAGAGAGAGGACAGCAGGGCAGCCACCTTGTGTCCCAGTCGTCCGCCTCAGAGTAGGTGCACAGGCCCCCACCTGCCTTACCCCGGGCCTGGGGATGCCCTGTGGCAGGGCCTGGACCTCTGGCTGAAAGGATGCACACAGTAAGTGGTTCCTTTTCTCGCTCTCCCTACTGCACTTCCCTGCATAGATCTTTAGGCCCTCGGGAGGGGGCTCAGTTACCCAATTTGGGAGAGTCACTGGGCACAGGGGGACATGTATCCCACACCCCCGGACATGCCAGGCCCCAGAAGAACTCTGTGGCAGTCCTGGAACCCAAGGATCCCTCAGCCGGGGGTGACCTCGCTAACCTCATGGGGGTGGGGAGGGTGCTGGTTGATCCTCGCTCACCCCAGGATTTATGTAATGCTGTCTTTCCCAACTGTCCTCAAAGCCACCCCGTGACATAAGCAGATGTGCGCCTCCATCTGCCCCAGTGACTGATGGGTAATGTTTGTTGAGCACCTGCTATGAGGTAGTATTTGCCACTGTTATAAAAAATCAAGATATAATTTGCATACCATCAATTTCTTCATTTTAAAGTGTATAATTTGGTGGTTTTTAATGCATACACAGGATTGTGCAACCATCACCACTATGTAATTCAGAAACATTTTCATCACCCCAAAGAAACCCCACACCTATCAGCTGTCACTCCCTGTCCCCAGACCACTCCAGTGCCTGGAAATCACTTACCTGCTTTCCGACTCCAAGGATTGACCTGTCCTGGGCATTTCATGTAAACGAATCATCCCGTATGTGGTCTCTGTAACTGGCCTCTTTCACTTAGCATTGTGTTTTCAATGCTCATCCACATGGTACCATGTGTCCATGTTGCACTCTTTTTTGTGGCTGAATCACATCCCACTGTATGGATAGCTCACATTTCTTTTTTTTTTTTTTTTAAATCCATTTTCTGTGGATGGACATTTGGGCTACTTCCACTTTTTGGCTATTATAAAGAAATGCTGCTGTGAACGTTTGTGTGCAGGTTGTGTGAACACACGTTTTCAGTTCTCTCGGGCATATATCCAGGCATGGAACAGCTGGGTGTATGACAGCTCTGTGTTTAACCATTTCAGGAACTGCCAGACTGTCTTCCAAAGTGGCTGCTCTGTTTTAAAATCATTTGCAGCAGCAGGAGACTCGGGCTTCGATTTCTGTGCAGCGCCTCGAGCACGCGGTGATGTCTGTCCTGGGCTGCCGCCCCCTAGTGGGTGTGAAGAGATATCTCAGCGTGGGGCTGGTTCTGCATTTCCCTCATGGCCGAGGATGTTGACCTGCTTTCTGTGCTCACTGGCCTCTGGTCTGTCTGTTCTGGAGGAATGTCCGTTCAAACCTCTGCCCCTGTTTAAACTGGGTTGTTCGGTTGTCCCAGGGCAGTCAGTCTATAGAGGGGAAACCGAAGCCAGAGGGGACGTGACTGAACCAAGAGCATGGGCCCTACAAGCCGGCTGAGACTGGAACCGGGGTTGGCCTCCACCCCAGCAGGTGTGGGACCACCATCTCCCACCCAGTTGGAGGCCTTCAGTGTCCAGCTTGACCCACCCCTCCCAGGCCGCCCAGGCCCTCTCCTCACATTTAAAGGGGGGAGGCCCCCCAGCCAGAGGGTGGGCCGGAAGGGCAAGGGAACAGCAGTTCTGAGGAACCAAGCTCGGCCTCCCTTCCCCTCCGAATCACGCGGGCCTGGCTGACGTGGCCCAAGAAGAGGGGACAGCCCGGGCCTGTGGTCGGGGAGCCTATTTATACTGGCTGGGCCGTGTCGCAAGCTTTTCCTGATGGCGAGAGGGACGTCACTGGGTGCTGACCTCACCAGAAACGCTGACGCATCTGCCCTCATGCCTCACTCGGATGGGCAGCCGGGCCTCCTCGCCTTGGGGACAGTCCCTGCTCCCTCCCTCCTAGCTCTGGGATCTCTGTTAGTGTCCCCCGCTCCCTGCGGCTCTCCAACCAGGCTGACCCTTGCAAGCTGTTCTAGGCTGAATTTTGTCCCTCCAACCCATATGTTAAAGGCGTCACCCTCAGCACCTCAGAATGTGGCTGTGTTTGAAAATAGGGCCTTTAAAGAGGTAGCAAAATGAGGTCACAAAGGTGCGCCCTGACCTAACATAGCCAGTGTCCTTGCAAGAAGAAGAGGTTAAGACTCAGGCACACCAGGTGGAGGGACGGCCATGCGAGGTGACCACAGGAGGTGGCCATCTCTGGGCCACGTACCAGAGGCCTCAGAAGAAACCAAGCCTGCCGACGCCTTAATTTGGACTTCCAGCTCCAGTACAGTGAGAAAATACATTTCTGTTATTTAAGGCCCCTAGTCTGTGATATTTTGTAATGGCAGCCTGAGCGACTTAACACCTAAGCCCTCTTTGCCTTTGGTGACCCTCAGCCCCAGGACCCACACAGCTGAGAGGTCGGTCGGCTTCGTGCTCAGAAGGTGATCTTCCGGATTTGACAGCCCTGATTTGAGGTCCCTGCTCCTCTTGACTGTTCCCGCGCGGAGTGACGTCAGGCAGGGTGACCTCCCCTCTCTGGGTCTTGGAGGCCTCTTTAGCCAAGGATACTGTATGGCCCCCCGGGGCCACGGGGAGGGGAGCACGAGGCAAAGCGTGTGGCTGTCCCCCAAGGGTGGAGACTGCTCAGCAGTAGCTGAGAGGGACAGGAGGCTCCCCAGCTGGGTGAAACTCCCGAGCCTCTCCGAGCTGCAGGCTCCTCATAAAGGGAGTGGAGCCAAGCGTCCCTCCCCAGGGCTACCCTCACAGGATGAGATCAGGGGTGTGAAATGAAGAATCGGGCTGGCTTGGGCCACAGGAAATGGTCTTGCGGAGGTGGGCGCAGAGATGAGGAATTCAGCAGAAGTGACATTCTCAGGAGGAGAATCCAGAACTGGTACTTGGGTGTGGTGACGGCGGGGTGGTTGGACCTGTGGGGTGGGCATCATGCTGGGGTGCCAGGGAGGCGGGGGTGGACGAGAAGCCTCCTGTGCTCAGGGCTGGTTTTGTCCACTGCTGGATCCTCAGCACCTGGGAGTGACTGGCACAGAGCAGAGTCAAATAAAAGCTTGTTGAATGACTGAATGAGTGGTGGTGGGCATGTCTACGGAAGGGAGAGTGGGCAGGGACGGCCTAGATGGTCATGATGGGTACCAGGGGCAGGGATGGATGGGAGGGCGTCTGGTCCTCCTCCTCCTGGGCCATCTCAGCTCCCTTGCCCAGGCTCCACAGGCCCCATGCCCTCCCCAGCTGGAGCAGCTCAGAGCTCACTGGCAGCCCCCAGGGGCCCCAGCCTGGCTCCCGAGAGCTCTGAGGCCTCCTCCCCACCGGGCTCCCAAGGCTGCAGGCCAAGGACCCTCTTCCAGACTTGGCAAATGTGCTGGGCGCATTAGGCACAGCCTGCAGGCCCGGGCCAGCCCTCGGCCAGTCCTCAGTTTACCCCATAGGTTGCCTGGGGAAGCGCTGTGGCCAGGGCCCCTTTGCTTTGATGTTCAGAGGTCTGCAAGGAGCAGAGGACCAGCCCATGATCACTATCTTTCACAGAAAGCGAAACCTGGTCCCCAACCGTCATGAGGCAGCTCCCCTTCCCCAGCTTCCCCTCTGTGCTTCCCCAACAGCCCCCCACCCCCTGAATCCCCTCCCCACCTTGTGCCCCCCTTCACCCCTTGTAGCTAGTACTTGAAATTAGAATGTTATCTTTTCTTTTTCCCTCAAAGGACTTTTGCCTTTTATGTCTATGATGGCGACAGCCCTGTGAGGTGGGCCAGAAATGCTTTTCTAATCCTCATTTTATACGTAGGGCCTCTGAGGCCCAGAGAGGTTAAGCAACTCACCTCTGGTCACACAGCACATCAGTGGGTTTGAACCCTGATCTCCTGCCGCTCTTGCTCCAAGTGCCTGGTTCTTCCCAGGAACCCTGTCTGTAGGGAAAGGGCCCGGCGGCGAGCAATGGGCCTGGGGTGGGGAAGGCTGGTTGTGTGAGGGGTGCATAGTGGGGGAAGGAGACAGCCAGGAACCCTGCTGGGGGATGCGGGTACTGGGACCAAAACCACAATCTCGGGGCTGCCAGCCTGGGTCTGGCTCTGCGCCCAGAGCCCGGTGGTTTCCGCTCACAGATGTCCCAACAGCCCCGGCGGGCAGGCAGGAAGGGCACTCAAGCAGGAAGATGTCTTGCTCTCTTCAGCCCCAAACCACAGTGGCCTGTGGGGCCAAAGGCTCCAGGGCCGCAAGTGGCCTGCGGGCCCTCCGGGGGCCTGACTGGCGGGCTCTCCACTCTACCCTGGGTGCAGCCCCCTACAGGTGGCAGAGACCTCCTCGCTCCGCACTTGCCCCAGGAAGGCTGAGGCTGCAGTTTGCATCATCCTTGGGCGTGGGGCTGACCTCGAAGAACGAATTCGAAGAAAACAGGAGGAGGAGCAGGCATGCCACCGCACCCAGCGCCCATTGGCCGCCCGTGGAAACTTTGGTTTTTGGGGTCATGTTCCCAGAAGGCCTGCCCTCCCCCTTCCCACCCACCTCACGAGGTGTTGGCCAATCACCCCGGCGGGCATAAAGTGGCTGCCAGCCCGCAGGGCTCCCAGGCAGGAGGTGTCACCCCCAGCGGGCACGGGCCGGAGCTCTGGCTCTCAACATGCGGGCACAGTTTACTCGGAGGGCGCTGCTCAGTAAGTACTTCCTTCCTCCACAGAAGCACCTGCTCACTATACGCACAGGTGCCAGCGTGGGGCGGGGGCACCTCTGTCCTCCAGAGCTGGGGGCGGGCACCACACAAAAGGATGCTGAGAAGGGGAGAGAGCCAGGACGTCAGGCAAAGAGAGGGGCCCCTAAGAACACAGCGTCTTCTCAGGGTGGAGAAGGGGTAACCCCAAAAGGCTTCCAGTGGGAGGTAGTATAGAGACAACTTTGGGTGCAAGGCAGTGAGGGAAGGGCACACACTGGGGGAGAGGCTGGGGATGTAGGAGGAAGGCGGGAGATGTGCTAAGCAGAGGAGGAAGTTGCAGAAGCTGAGCAGGAAAATGGGGTGATGTTTGGGATGGGTATACCCAGCCGGGCCCGGGGGCACTGGAGCCCACGCAGTCACACAGCACACACAGCCACACCCGTGGGGAGACATGCACACAGAGCCGCGTGACTTCACCCAGAGACCTCAGTCTCACCACCCTGGAAACCCCACATGCAGCCTGGGGACCCCTCAGCAGATGAGGCACAATGCTTGTGTGAGGCCAGCTGCTCCTCACATCACACAGACCTGATGCATGTCCACGTGGACACCCTACTCCACCGCACGCTGTGCTCACATGGGTGCCTCTGTGCAGCCCACAGCGGATACCTGGGAAGCGGCCGGGAGCCCTGTAGTCTCTGTGCCTGGGTGGCCAGCCCTTCAACCCTCCCCAGCCATGTCCTCCTCAAGGGGCCGACTGCTCTTAGGAAGGGAATATGGTGTCACTGCCTTCCGGGCCATTGCGCCACAGGCCCCTTCCAACCACATGGCCTGGTGGGTGTGCGGGGCGGGGCAGGCGGGCCTCAGTGTGCCCGCCCCCCTGAGCCTTCCGGCTCACAGCATCCCTGGTGGGCTTGGCAGAACTGGCCACTTACGGAGAGAAGAGGGAAGCATGAGAGGTGCGGGGACAGTGCTGGCCTTACATGACCTGGGCAAGCCCTTCTCTTTTGGGGCCTTGGTTTCCTGTCAGCAAAATGGGGACATGGACTAGATGGTCTGGCACATCCTTTCCAGACAACCTTTGGCGGGAAGGGCAGCCTCTGCTGATTCTGCAGATGTAGCTCAGGGTGCTGGGCTATTCCCAGGCTGCCCACTCTGAAGCCCTCTCAAGCCCACCTTGCATGGAGGGCCGAGGTCTGCTACGGGAGTCTTGGGCTCTTAGCCCAGGGGTCGTGTGGAGAGCCCCACCTGGGCTGCCCAGCATCAGCTCCTGAGCTTGGTGGGATTGGCAGGCATGGGAGCTCCAGCTGCTCCCCACAACCTCCTCTCAAAGGCCTGCTTGGTGAAGTGCAGCAATCGGCAGCTGGGCAGTGACTCCCTGGGGAGGTGGCGGTGGCCCCAGCAGGAGCTCTGGTGCACCTTGCAGGGTGGCCAGACAGTGCACACGTAGAGCCCAGCCCAGCCCTCGACAACACAAAGCCCGGGATGCTGGGCTGCTCCTCTGGGGTCCTCTTGAGTGCCCTCCCCTCTGAAAGCCGTGCGCCTGTGGCTTCCTCCCCAGGTCAGGTGACACCCTCTTCTCTGCCCCAGGTCAGGTCCTTGGGCTTCTGTTCCTGAGCACAGCGGCCCTGGGCAGCTGCTCGGACAAGTACCAAGAGCTCCTCGGGCAGCTCCGGAATCAGGCGGACTTCATGCAGCACACCAACACACTCCTGGACCCCTATGTGAGTGCCTGCCCCTGGTGGCATCCGAGAGTCAGAGAGCCGCAGGGTCAGGGCAGCAGTGATTTCCAGAGAGGACCTGGCCCAAGCCTATTCGCCCAGCCCCCACCCAACATAGGGTAGTTGGGAAGCTGAATCCCATGTTATTCCAGGGACAATTCCACTCATATTGTCCCAGGCCGCACCCTGAGGCACAAAGGAGACAGTTGGGCTGCCGCAGCTCAGCAGGCCTGGAGGGTCTTTGCCTTACTCACCCGTTGTCTAGCATGATTATTGCACACCCACCACATGCCTTGTTCTAGGCCCTGGAGAGGTAGCAGTGAGCAGAACAGAGTCCCACCCTCCTGGAGCTCACGGGTACGTCCACACTGACACTCCCCATGCCATGGTGACTGCCTGTGTGGTCACCTCCCCAGGCCCCCAGCATCCTCCCCGCTCTGCCTGCAGCGGCCGGGGAGTCCCCTTCCCTTTGGGGCCTCAGTTTCTGGATCTTTTCAATGGGAGGATTAGGTGGGGGTTGTACGAGGACAAGCATTTCAAGGCCGACCTGAGCAGACTTGTCTCTGTGCATGCCTGGTGGCTGCTGCAGCACTCACGCCCGATTCTCCTTTCCCCCCAGATCCGTGTGCAAGGCCTGGATGTGAGCGGGCTGAAAGAGCACTGCAAGGGGCACCCTGGGGCCTTCCCCAGCGAGGATGCCCTGCGGAGGCTCAGCAAGCAGGGCTTCCTGAGGACCCTCAACGTCATCCTGAGCCATGTCCTGCACAGACTGACCACGTTACAGCAGGAGCTCCCCAAAGCCCAGGACTTGGAGATGCTGGATAGGGTGAAGCTGAACATCCGCGGCTTCAGAAACAACCTCCACTGCATGGCCCAGCTGCTCCCCAGCTCCTCCGACACGGCTGAGCCCCCGCAGGCAGGCCCGGGGGCCTCACCACCACCCACCCCGGCCACAGATGCCTTCCAGCGCAAGCTGGAAGGCTGCAGGTTCCTGCATGGCTACCACGGCTTCATGCACTCCGTGCAACAGGTCTTGCAAGGGTGGGAGGAGAGCCCGAACAGGAGCCGGAGACACAGCCCCCGCCGGGCTCTGTGGAAGAGGGTCCGCAGGATGGGACCTTCCAGGAGGGACAAAAGACTCATGCCCAGGGGGCAGTTGCCTCGGTAGCCTCAGGGGTGCCCCTGGCAGATGAAGGATCAGCAGGTACTCTACAGGATGGCATCTCCCCAGGGCCACCCACTCCTAAAGAAGTGCACTTTATGGGGTGGGAGCCAGGCAGGCCCCTCTACCTCCTCTGTGCTGGGGGGATACGGTCACGCTGTTGACCCACCCGTTCTGAGCTCCCCAGTCCTTGCGGGGTGGCCAGGTCAGGCCATGTGGGGCCACTTTCCGTTGATTCAGGGGCCTGATGACACGGGCTGACTCATGGCCAGACTGACCATCCCCCCCGTCCGCTCCCCAGAGGCCCGCCGGCCCTTCCCTCTCATGACCCGCAGGGCCGTTGCCCCCAGACTTCCTCCTTTCCGTGGTGGCACGGTTCTGAGAGCGAGGTCAGGACCTGAGCGGGCCTCCTAGGCCTCATAGCCAGACTCAGGCCAGGCCCCTGGACATCTGGGTGATCTCACTTTAGGCAGCTGTGACAGGGGCAGAGGGTCCTACATGGGGTATTGCTCTGGCGGCACCCAAAGAACAGAGCTCAGGTCCCAGGTTGGCTCCTAACTCCCTGTGTGGCCTCTGGACCCCAATTTTCTCTGTGACCCTATACTTCTCTGGACCCCAATTTTCTCTGTGAATCAAGGGGCTTGGGGACTGTGCAAAGCCCTCTCTGCCTGTCAGTTACTGGAACTCTGTGACATAGGATGGCTATTAAATTCTCCCCATAAATTGGGATGCCAGGTGTAAATGGACGCAGGTTCCCTAGACTTCCTAGTGCCTGAAGGGGCCAGCCTGGGCTCCGGGCTGCTGGCTGCTCCCCCTGGTGGTGTGTCGTGGAATCGTCTCACACTGAAACCGTGGCCCTCCTGGAGGGGGCCCCAAAGGCTGCTGGGCCAGTTCCTTGTAGTGACAGGACTAATTTATTGACTTTTATCAGTTTTTATCTGTTTCTTATTTATAAGGCTTATTTATGATGTGTATTTAATGTTAATATTATGCCAACATGTATTTAAAGACTGTCTGGTTTCTAAATCCCCTGTGTCTCTGTTGTCTTCTGGGAGAGGATTTGAGGGGGCCTAGCCTTTGGTGGTGGTGGTGGTGTGGGGGGTCCTAGGTGGCAAGGCCACAGGCGCCCACCACCGGAGGACTGGGCTGGATGTCCTTGCCCTGCCCAGGAAGGGCTGTCACAAGCCCCAGCCAGCCTTGGGGTCTGATCTGGGGGTGTCTCAGATACAGACAAGGCATGTCTTGTGTCTGAATGGGTCTCCTTTGAGATGCTGAGGACTGGGGTGTCAGGGCTTGGGAGCAAGAGCGGAGGAGGAAGGGAAGGCTGGAGTGTGGAACCCCCTGAGGCTGTGTGGCTGGGGGTAGGTGCGCTGATGTGTGCTGTGTGAAATGGACAAGATAGTAAGAGATCCTGCCTCAAACGTGGCCTGGGGACCTGGCATGTGCCTGAAACCATTTCCTGAAGACCCCTGGGGGGTAGAGGTTCCATCTGGCCCCCAGAAAACTGGGATCCCTCCCGGTGCTGAGAAGAGGCACCTCAGGAAGGGCACCGACAGGCTGATGATGTGCTGAGCCGCACAAAGGCACGGCTAACAGAGGCAGATGAATTTGACCTGGACCAGTTCTGGGCCACCCCCACTTCCTGGGACTGGGGGCCCATATGGGAATAGGACTTCACCTCAGGAGTGGAGAGCTCTGCGTGGGTCTCTCTGCAACAGCTGTGATTACTTTGCAGACCGGAAGACTGAGGCTCAGAGAGTTTGTGTGAGCTGCCCACAGTCTCAGCAGACTCACTGGGGGCAGGCGCATCTTGAATTCAGGTCTGTTAGAGGCCAGGGTGCGAGCATCTTCAGCCTCCATAACTCTGCAGACAATTTCATGAATCTTCGAGGGCACTAAGCTCCCAGGCAAGGAGGCAGGCAGACAGTACACGAGCTAAAGAACCAGCAGGAGCATCTGAGATGGCAGTGGGAGCTCAGCAAAAATAAAGCAGGGTGATGTAATAGAGAGTGAGAGAGTCAGGCTGCGCGGGTGGTCAGGGTGGAGTCTGGAAGAGGTGACACCCACTTTGCAGACTGAATGATGCAAAGGAGGAGGGGAGGAGCCTATGGTGGGAACAGTTAGGACAAAGGCTCTGAGTATTCAAGGATCAGAGTATAGTGAGTGAGGGCGCCGCTGATTTACCGAAAAGAGGGGACATGTCTTGCTCAGTCACACACTGCGTTGGGACTGGGGTTGGAACTTCAGGTGCCTGACTCCCAAACCAGTGCTCACGGGCAGTGCCCACTGTATTCCAGGCACTTTACTAAGTACCTAGTAAGGGCTTTCTGCTGCTGCCTACTAGGCTCTCCCTTGGTTTGGGATTCCTGTCACACAGTCCATCTTTTGACTTTTGGTACGGTCAGGGCTTCCTCCTACCGCAAGGCTTCCACCCATGCTGTTCCCTCTGCTTGGAATGCTGTTCCTTGTGCTCTTGGTCAGTGTCTCTTCAGCTATTTTTCCCCACTGCCTATGGCCTAGGTCCAGCAACTTGGTTATTTGTTCTCACAACTGTACCACTGGGGAGCCCTTACCCAATGTGGCTTTTGTATTACCTTCTGCCTCCCCACTAGCCTGGAGCTGGCAAGGATGGAGGCGGCAACTGCTTCCCTCTGCTCCATCCCGGCACCTAGCACAGTGCTTGCACCCGGTAGGAGCTCAGTGAGGAGCAGGGCAGACAGGGCCCTGAAGAAAGTCAAAGCTCTGAGCGGCACGCCAGGAGGCCTGGCCTAGGTGGGGGCTGCCAACAGCAGGGGCCGGCCTTGCTCTTTTCTCCTCTGCTCCAGCATGGGGGTGGGAGGCTTTCCTTGGGCTGGGCTGCTGGGAAGCTGTGGGTGAGAGGCGGCAGCCACCAAAAGCCAGGCACACTTGGGTTCCCAGAGCGGAAGGTAGCTGGTGCTGCGGAGGGCACGCGGTTGCCCACAGAGTGGGCAGAGGTTGCTTTGCAGGAGAAGAACTGAGACGCCCAGGGTGGCTGCCCCCAACTCCTGCCTGGGCCCCTTGCCAGCCCCCTCCTCTGTGCCCAGGGGAGGTGTCTGAGACGACTTTGAGCTGGAGCAGCGCCCACCCTGTGGGAAGCAGGTCAGAAAGCTCCAGAGCCTGGACAGGGAGTCTCGGGGGTCCCACCGGTGAGAACTTGTCATCTCCACGCTGTCCCTTGATGAGACAATAGCTGGGGGTGCCCCCAAACCATCATCTCCAGCCTGGTCCTCTCCCAAGCCAGACCCACAGACCCAGCTGCCGGGAGCCCCGTGGGTCCCTGTGTTCTGTGTCCTCTCTGTCCTCGCAGAAGTCCCAGAGCTCCAGGCCACCCCTCTCCTCTCTGAGCCTCTCTTCTCCCACTGATCCCAGTGTCCTGTAGTTTCTCCTACGCCCCCTTTCTGGCACACACCTCCTTCTCTCCCCACAGCCACCCGGCTCCTGGTTCCCTGGACGTGGTCTAAAATCTCACCAGCACCGTGTCTTCTCCTGCACAAACCTTCAATGGCCCCCTCCTGTCTTCCTGCCAGTGGCATCAGTTCCAGACTCTCATAGCACACCAGGCCCCTGCTCTGGGCCCGGCCAGCGTGGCCAGTTCATCTGGGCATCCCGGCAGCCTGACCTCCCCATGCCTGCGTTTCCCACTCCCCACACCTCCCATCCTCGGGGAGACTCAGATGTGCCCTTCTCCTTGATTCCCCCTCCCGCAGGGGCTGTGGGGCTTGCCTGGGGGCTGCAGGCAGCCTGTGGGGGGCCTGCCTCTGACGGCCCATGTCCCTCCACAGTGCTGGCCACTGGGAGGCTGGGCCCTCCGTGAGTACCTGCTGCGTCGGGCAGCCGGGCCGGGCCTCTGAGTGAGCTGAGCCCCTGCAGCACCTCTCCCTGGGGGGGTGATACCCCGTGAGCCTCCATTCCCCCGCCTCCGCCCGCCCAGTGGCTGGTGTGAAGGTACAGAGTGGCCACAAGCTGTGGGAATATAAAGGGGTCCAGGCCCTGCTGCACGTGTTGGCACAACTCCAGGTTTTCTTCTTCCTTGTCCAGTTTTTCAGGCGACAGTCGCAGCCCCAGGTAATGCCACGTGGAACGCACGTGGTGGGAAGATCTCTAGGTCGGGGGCCTGGGAAAAGGCAGGGAGGTGGCCGGCGCCGAGCGTCCGTTTACGAGACAAAGTCACGGCTGCCCATGTCAAAGCTGGTCTTCCACCTCCGTGGCTCCAGCCTCTTGACCGCCCACCAGTTTTAACATGATTTGTTTTCTGGATGAGCGAGTGCATGAGAGTTAAGCAGCATGAGCTCAAAGCCCAGGCAGCCTGCCGTGTGACCTCCCGGGCTGAGCCTCGGCTTCCCTCTCTGTAACAGGGGGCTAGCCTGGCCTGCCTCCCGGGCTGCCGCAGATATCCCGGGAGACACACAAGCACAGGACTTCGTCGGCGCTGTCGTGAGCTGTCACCAACCAGGTCCTCGAGCTGTGGCCTCTTGATTCTCTCTCTCATTCTCTCTTTTGCTTATTAGTTTTTTTTCTGCAGCTCTTACCGCCCTCCCCCCACACCGCCCTCCACGCCAGGCCTGGGACCCCCTTTCGCACGCCGAGGGGAGGGTCACAGTCCACGGTGAGAGCTGGGAAATCGGCAGCGAGGCCAGCCCAGCTCCCTGCTTCCTGGGCCGTCCTGAGGGCTGGGCTCCACTCGCTCGCTCCGAGGGGCGAAGGTCTCCGAGGGAGGTGGGTCGGGCAGGAGGGGCCCTGGAGCCTGTGCCGGAGGGCAGACCAGACAGGCCAGGTGACTCCCGGGCTCCAAGGTGGGTACCAGGGCAAGGAGTGGTGGCTTGGGAGTGCGCTGTGTCCAGGGTGGCGGCTGCAGCCTGTGACTCTGCTGGGGACAAGGACGAGGAGGCATGGCCCTTGTGCACACGGCCTGTGGCAGGTCTGAGTCAAAACACCTAAGGCCGACCCTGGCTGGTCATGCGGAGGGCTGCTCAGTCATCGCCTTATGCTGCCCTGGGTCACCCAGGCAGGCTGGGCGCGGCCCAGGCAGCTGTGACTCAGGTCCCAGAGGCCTCGGCACGCAGCCCTGGATAGGGGCGCGGGGCACAGGGTCACCCCTTGCCCTCCTCCAGCCTCACCTTTCCCCTCAGCCACGCCGAAGACCCTGCCCTACATGTGTCGGCGCAGTGTGGCCAGGCTCCTGGGGTTCTTGGCCTCTGTTGCCCCCAAGCCTTCAGTGGGGGGTGTGGTGTGTGGGGTGGAAGTGGGGGGAGCCTTAGGGCCACCCGGCACTTGACGGGAAGTCAAGTGGGGGGGCAGGGTGAGGAGCCGTCTCCAGAGAGGTTTCAACAGGAGAGGGAAGTAGCAGGGGCCTGGCCCCAAAGCCAGCCGTGTCCCGCTGAAGGCCCAGCACACACCCAGGGAGACTGCGGAGAGACCCTCACGGGCTGCAGACCACGGTAGGCTTCCCTGGGGCACAGGGCCAGGGGCAAGTGCCAGCCCCGAATGGACCTTCAGCACGGGCAAACCGCATCCCCTTCCTTGTGCGTGCGGGGGTACACACCGTCCTGGGGGCCTCCGACTCCCAGCCACATGGGGACTGCGCCCTGCATGTTTCTCTGAGGATGTTGAGGTAGAGAGAACACACCCAATGGGAGGGCCATGCAGACACACAAGGGGTTAAAGAGTATGGAAGGTTAAAGGGCAGAGGAGGGCCCACTGGGCAGGAGGCTGGAAGCCTGGTTTTGCGTGATGCTGGAGGAGTCACCCCTTTGGGAACCTTGATTCCTGGATTCCCAGGGGTCCCTCAAGTTCCCTTCTCCCCCGAACAGTGGAGGTGTCTGAGCCCATGGCAAACTTGCTCTCCCTCAGATGGGGTCATGGCAAGCAGAGGGTGTCTGTCCCTGCAGAAGGGGCTGCAGTGGGTCATAGGGAGGCAGCAGAGGGTCTTTGCCAAAGTGAAGTCCCTCATGGGGGCGTCCCTCCCGCCTCGGCCTAGGGTGCATGGTCAG